GTCATTGCTGTAATAAATTTTATTTATTACTACGATATACAGTGAACTTTTCATGTCAGCAGACAATATTCCATACAAAATATCCCTGCAAAATAACTGCATCACTGAGATTTTTGGTGGCGTAAACAATTTATTCCGAAGCAATATTTCCATCAGTGTTCTATCAGCTTTTACATACTTAAATCAGCATATTTACCTTTACAAAGGCCTATTTTTAAACCTTTTTAGATGTATGCATCATCTTTCATGTCAAGTTATTACAATTTATCAATAAATTCAATATACACCATAGGGCTGCTACCAGTCAGATTAAATAATTTACACTGCAAAGAACAATAATTACAACTGCAATAAATAATGTTATGAGATTAATGTTTTAAATGCATTTATGAATATACAAATAAGAAATGTTGAGGGGGAAAATGCATACTTTTCAACATACTTCTCAACTAAACTACCAGTAAGGGACGGTAAGTCACTTAATGAGTGAGTCATTGAGTCATTCATTCAACTGATTAAGTGTGTGCTCATTCTGTTATCTTAAGGACTTTCGTGGACAGCTGACTACTAAAGTTTTTCATATTCTGTGTGGTGGTCAGATAGAAATGAATAAAGCCATTTTTTCTATAAGTGTGCATTATCTTTTGAGTCAAATTCTTACATTTAATCAGTGAATAAGAATAATAAGACATTTGGGCTGTTACCAAGCAAATGAAATCAGTATCAATAAAATTAATCTTTGCAATCCAGACATAAGCTGCATCTGAAGTGGCATTTAGATGTATTTACACACAGTTTAATGCAGAACATGAATGCATTTAACCTGCAGTTACAAATGCATAAATAATGTTTTGCTATACTAAACATAAAACATTGAATACTGATATTTGAAATAATAAAAAAAATGAAAAGATACTTTAAATGTGAAATTAAAAGCGCCAGTAGGTGGCAGCAAGTCACTGTTAATAAGTGAGTCATTGCAAATGAACCGAATCATTTAAACAGTTGATTCATTCAGGAATGAATCACCGTCATGTTGCTCAAAGAGGCAAAACAGCGCTGTGGCTTTGTTTGGAATTATTATTGTTGGCGAAATAGTGCAAAAACAGGCAATATGGTGTCTAAAACGTAAGTCTCTTAATAAAACTTTTAGTTTATTGAACTGTTGTAAAAAAAATCAATATTACATTTGTATATGGTAATTTTTTGAGAGAAAAAAAGGAACTCTTCCCTGTGAACTTGATTAATTATATGAAGTGGTATAAATATACACATTTTCTGCCCCCATGTCTTGAATTTGTGATCATTCTGAATGTATTTTAATAGACTGAATCATGCAGTGAAAGAGCGCACTACACTTCACGTAATGCGTGCACTCTGTAGGTGTTTTGAATGTTTTTTTGCGTCGTGAGAATATTGAGCAAAATAGCTCACTTGTCATGGTGTTACTTCACTATATCATGATCTGAATAAACTAAACATTCAGAATTTTTACCTCAGTGTGTTTCTTCTGAGTTTATGTGTGCTGTCACGCTCATTTGTTCTGAAGTCTCGAGACAAACAGAGTGAGCCTCAGCGCGACCTTGTATTCTGTATTCTGTTAATTTACTGCAATTCTCTCTGATGACGCAGTAACTTACCGCTTCGGTCTGTCAAATGATTGTAAAGTCATTAGGTCCGTCAGACTGAAGGTATTTTAGCGGTAATGTGACCAAAAATATTTAAGACCCATCGAATCCGAATTTAAGACATTTTAAGACTTTTTAAGGCTTTATATTAGGAAAACGTTATTTAAGACATTTTAAGGACCCACGGACACCCTGTTTTAGCATAGTTTGAACTTATGCCTCTTTGAACAGTCTCTCTTTAGTTTGGTTGTAATAAGTGGAATAATTAATTAATGATGTTTCTATCTTATTTTTAGTTAAAATCTGAACAGACTGAAATCATTAAATAAAACTGCATTGCTTTCTTTTTTTCCTTTACAACATTTCTTTGTATTACAAGAGTTATTTTTATAGAATCATTAAGAGGAATCTGAATCAGATTCATCTGCGAAATGCACAGATCTAAATGAAGTTTAGCAATACCTCCTCTTTCTGCAGGGTCTTTACAGCAAAACTCTTGGAGGAGAGAACCCAGTGCACAAGAGCCAGATGATGATCTCCATCACCGTGTCCCAGACGCACCAGATCTCTCACGTTTGGCAAAGTATCCACATCCTTTTGCTGTGAGGAACACAGTAGAATCAAAACTGTAAAGGATGTCTGTTTTGGAAGGCTAACAACATGGAGAGCTCTATTTCTGCAAACGTCTTACCAGCTCCTCAAAGTCCTTGACCTCTCCTCTAAGGTAGCGAGGAGGGAAGGGTCTGAGCGCTGAATCGCGTTTGTAGCTCTGGACGGCGGCTACGAAGAGGCTACAGCGCAGATCTGCCGCTACAGGGTCTCGATGCAGACAGGAGCAAACCAGCTCTCTGACCACAGCTGTCGGGAGAGGCGGCTGCATTCCCAACACTAAAACAAACACATCATAAATAATAGACAATGAGAAACTTTCAATTTTCAAGAAACTTTCAGAAATTTTCAATAATGCAAAATATGTTGATTGTGAGTCAAGTAGTGTCAAAAAAAGAAATATATATATATATATATATATATAATTTTATATTTATATTATATACTATAATAATACATTTAAAACTCATATTATATAATTATAAATCATTATTTTATATTTTTTATGATATATATTTATATATTATTTAATACTTATACATTATAATAATAATAATAATAAGTGATGTTCATTAATGTAAATGTATAACATGTAGAATATGAGTCTAGTTGCATACAAAATAGTGTACATGTATATACAATATATGTAGTGTCACTGTAACTACACAGTATATATATATAATTTTACATTTATTTTATGTAGTATAATAATGTAATCATTATATTATATATTTATTTTATATTTTTATAGAAACATTTAATATTTATATTATATATTTAAAAATATATATATCATTATATTTTAAATTATAATTTCATTATATTTTTATTTTACTATATATAGTGAGATTATAATACTATATTATCATTATGACAAATGATGTATTTATAAATACAATACAATATTACCATTAAATTAGTTTGCTTACTTACCATCTTCTTGTTAACTTTAAAAATTAAGTTAAATAATTCATATAATATATAACACATGATTATTTCTAAAATTGTATATAATTTATGATATATTAAAGCTAGCTTTACAATAATAAACCAGACACAATTGCCTTAAGTAAACAAAGGACAAAGGATCTAAGGACTTTTTTATTTAACAGATTTAAGTGACTAAAGATTTAAATGAAGGCATGAGTAAGTATGTTAACAGTTTATTTTTAGTGAACTTTGACGCATGATTTCAGCAGATGTACGTAAACTCATGTAAAACATTTAATAGCCTGTTTTCAGTGAGACTGATCGCTTGCTGCTAACAAGGTTAATATCAGCTAGCGAAACCCAACCCGTGATATAAACTCATTCATAATTTACACTAAGTCTTCTAAGGCTCCTATATTTGACTGTTTTAATGCAATAAGTTAGTTCGTTTAACAGTCGGTTTGTTCGGCTCTGCTAAGTTTGTTTACATGTTAAGCATGTTAGCTGGTTAGCTCAGCTACCGTCTCCCTGAAGAAACTCACTCAAGCTTCAGCACACAAACGATTTGAAAGCAGAGTACCCATCACTCTACTTGTCATTACATTATATATGATTACATATTTGGCAAGCATTTATGTATTTTACCTTATGTGCCTGAAGCTCAGGCATCTGACAGCCACCGGAAGCTAAACGTGTCCCGCTGCTGCTGCGCATGCGCCTGATAGCACCAGCAGAGGACGCCATACACTGAACGCTGAACTATGCAGAAGTGGGGCAGTGATTCGTGAAGGACCAAATATATTGTTTCCTAAATATATATCCTTCCTAAATATAAATATAGTCAAAGAATATTTAATGTAATTTCTATGTGACAATGATTAACACATGTATTGACTTACTACTTTATCTGAATCGATCTACCTGTCTGTCTTTTTCTTTTGCTATCAAGAAAGTGATACCTGAGATGATGGAGAAGCATTTTAGGTCAAGCGTTGTGTTACCAGAAGTGGCTGAGTGCTGTTGTTCTCATTTCGCTGTAAAGTTACACAGCACTTAATATTGTTGCCAGAAGAATTTTAGAGATCAATTATGTATGATTGTACAATTATGTAAGTTGATAAATGTGTGTATATATATATAAATTAAATATTGAGAGAAATATACAATATAATATCTTATTACATGGATATACAATTTACTGTAATACCGTAATATATATTTGTATGTTGTATTGTAATAACAATACAAATTACAAATATATATATTACACTACAAATTACTGTAGGTTGTAATAACATTCTGTATGTATTAAGTGATAAATGTATTAAGTACATAGAAATATAATATACAGTATAGCCTATGCAGTAATATCATATATTACATATACAAATTACTGTAAGTAGTAAGCTTCTGTATAGCTAAGCAACCATTTTCCTGTGTTTCCTTTGAAAAAAATGGCCTGTATGTAATTTCCAAGAACTGTCTTATTTAGGATATGTATCTTAACGTGTTTTGCCGTCATTCCCATTATTTCCTCCTAATGTATGTGTCTGATACTCCTTTATATGTTATGAGCTATATGTGATAAGTGTAAGAATTACACTGTAAAATGATTTTTTCAAAGTTGTTAATAACAGAGTATTGCAGTGCTTTTTTACCAGAAAATAGTATTAATCTTTGTTAAAGATACTGTATATGCCTCAGTACCGTGGAGAGCGGCCTCGCGGCGTCTGAGGTCAGTGAGCGTGAAGGAATGAAGTCTCGCGAGTCTAGAGGCCCCACGATCTGATGTATTCAGCATCACTCACACTCACAACACAGTGAACACACTCATCCCTCGAGCTACGGATGCTCATCTCCGCGCGTGCGTGTGTAGGAGTGCCGTGACGTGACTGTTTTCCCTCCCATATTCCCAGTGTCGTCTCATAAGCATAACGGATTTGGAAAACATCACCATCACAAGTGCATCGATCACTGAATGGAAAGTGGTTTATTAGATGCGAGTGGGCGCGTGCATCGGCAACATATTCTTGGGTGAACGCTCGAGAAGGTAAGGGGGACGGTTTTCACCCATGCTTTTCACTTTCTCACCCGTGTTTTTCACATTTATGCACCCAGAACAGATGTGTTGTGTCTTATTTACAGGGAAAATCAGAAATACGTGCGATCTTAGCTCGCACTGTTGAATAAAACGCCTTCCCATTCAGCACCATCTTTTCGCTTGAAGGGCGCTCTGCTCTGCTCGACCTCGATCCGCTCTGAAGTGAGTCAAAATGTTTTAGCTAAATATTCTCTTGCTTTTGTTTTCTGCATCGAGTCTTACGTTTTAGAATGATACCTCCCATTTGGATGAATGGAATATAACGTTATGGCAACTAGATTATCATTTCATATCTATGTACCACCCTGGCGACATGCCCTTCACATTGCAACCGGGTTTGGCTAGATCCGAGCGAGAAAAACCGACCTGCAATCGGTTGATAATAATCGCTACGGATAAAGGGTTGATAATAATCGCTACGGATAAAGGGTTGATAATAATCGCTACGGATAAAGGGTTGATAATAATCGCTACGGATAAAGGGTTGATAATAATCGCTACGGATAAAGGGTTGATAATAATCGCTACGGATAAAGGGTTGATAATAATCGCTACGGATAAAGGGTTGATAATAATCGCTACGGATAAAGGGTTGATAATAATCGCTACGGATAAAGGGTTGATAATAATCGCTACGGATAAAGGGTTGATAATAATCGCTACGGATAAAGGGTTGATAATAATCGCTACGGATAAAGGGTTGATAATAATCGCTACGGATAAAGGGTTGATAATAATCGCTACGGATAAAGGGTTGATAATAATCGCTACGGATAAAGGGTTGATAATAATCGCTACGGATAAAGGGTTGATAATAATCGCTACGGATAAAGGGTTGATAATAATCGCTACGGATAAAGGGTTGATAATAATCGCTACGGATAAAGGGTTGATAATAATCGCTACGGATAAAGGGTTGATAATAATCGCTACGGATAAAGGGTTGATAATAATCGCTACGGATAAAGGGTTGATAATAATCGCTACGAATAAAGGGTTGATAATATTCTCTACGAATAAATGGTTCATAATAATCGCTGCGAATAAAGGGTTGATAATAATCGCTACGAATAAAGGGTTGATAATAATCACTGCGAATAAAGGGTTGATAATAATCGCTACGAATAAAGGGTTGATAATAATCGCTGCGAATAAAGGGTTGATAATAATCGCTACGAATAAATGGTTGATAATAATCGCTACGAATAAATGGTTCATAATAATCACTGCGAATAAAGGGTTGAAAATAATCACTGCGAATAAAGGGTTGATAATAATCGCTGCGAATAAAGAGTTGATAATAATCGCTGCGAATAAAGGGTTGATAATAATCGCTACGAATAAATGGTTGATAATAATCGCTACGAATAAATGGTTGATAATAATCGCTACGAATAAATGGTTCATAATAATC